TTACAATGAAAGTATAATGTAGAACTGGACCCTTAGTTTGTGTCCGTTTTTATGCAAATAGCAGGTTTTTTTGTTTTTTTTTAAAATAAATTTTAAAGTATGGAAGCCTAAAATAGGGAGGGGTGAATGTTGCATTTTCTTTTTCTCTGCAGCTAGAAAATCAATTTGTATTATTAAGAAAATAAAAAATCCCATTCCTAGATTACTATTTTCTCTAAGAAAAAGAAATTAAATGAATTGTTCTTTGTTGTTGTTGTTTCATTTTAGGCTTCCATGCATAAAAATTACAAGCACATCTGTATAAAGGTGGACATAAAATGAAGGTCCAATTTGTCATTAAGTGTAAACCAAACCCCCACTTTAGAGCCACATCGTTGGCCCTCTGTTTAAAATATTTTTATAAAAAATGACAAATTTCCAGAAGAACTGAAAACCATATTTGGGGAAAGTAGTTTGAACTATGTATGCGGTGTGTTCAAAAAGCATCCAATATTTCCCCCCCAAACCAATTCTGCCACCACTGGAATGGTTTCTCTGGAATGTTATGGTGGTCTGCCCTCACTTTTCTTATAAATTCCTCTCGCAACTCAAATAATTTCCCTTTCAGCATGGTTTTCAGATTGGGAAATAGCCATAATGAGGCCCATCAGGCAGTCTGTCAAACAAGTGGTGTGCTTTTCTTGACCAGAAAACTTGGATTATGTGGGTGGAATAAATGAGCAGGCAGATTTTGTCGACACCCTCTGCATGCACAACTCTTTTGTTAAAACAGAACACATTGATCCTGTGCTTATTCTTACTTTGTGGGAAATTACACAATGGTCTTCCATGAATATTTGCCGAACTATTTAAATTGGTTCCTTATTTCGGCTTGTGGATGGCCTGCCCAAGTATGCCTTGCTCTCTATCAGGTGTGGCAATGTTTGAAATGGTTGTAACACTCCTTGACCTGAGTTTTCCTCATGGCATCATCACCAAAGACCTGTTGAATCTTCTGGGTGGATTGAGTTTTGACAAAAAATGATGCAATATCTGTGTTTGGTCATGTCGTATGAAAATCTGACGAGTGCGCACTACATGTCTGTACTCTAGGCATAATAACTGGGGAACTGATGTGGCTTACCAGTGTAAAATATTTTCACGCATGTGCAAGAAGGCTAGCTTCATCTCCCACCCAAAAGATTTTACCCATGCAGCATTAGTTTTGGTGGGAAAAATAGATACTTTTTGAACACATCTTGTGAACATACATTGTCCTGCATGTAGACGCTATTTCAAAAAACCGAATTTTCATTGGTGCTTTTAATTGAAGACAAATTATTATTATATATTTCGTGTGTGCATGTGTGTTTTTGTGTGTGTAAACCCAAAAGAATTTCTTTTAGCAGGTTTACTTTTCTATTTTTCTTTTTCTTTTCTTTTTATAAATTTATTTCCTAATTTCTCTGTTTATACTGCATATTTTTACTGGGGAGGCTGATCTGGGTGCAATGGTTAACGAGCTCATCTGAAAGAGCAGGTTGCTAATACAGACCTTAATCTCCCACAAGGACCCACTATTTTGTCTTTTAGTAATTTAAAAAGAAAAACACTGGTATCTTACCATGAGTATATGGTTAGTGAGTTTAATCCAGCCATTATGACTGTATAGTATGATTCTCATTGAGTGCTTCACATTTGTGACCTTGCACCAGACAAAGCATATTAAATACTTGGGTGTGTGATGGTTAACAAGCAAGTATTGTGAGTTTTATCTTCATAGCCCCTTCCCCTACTGATGTGGGACTTTTGCCAAACTAAATAAATAAATATACGTGGTAGTTGATATCATCTTATAGTTGGGTTAATACGTCATTTAATATTGCTGTTAAATTTTTTCTCATTTGAAAGAGATGTTTATTTTCTTGGGTTATCAATGTTTTGTTACTCTTGTTGCTTATAAGATGTATAAAATGATTTAAAAGAATAGACATTTTATGTCTACTACATTTATTGATCTTCCTTTTTTTCGTTGTCCCCCCACCCAAAAAAATGTAAATATATTTTATGCAATTGGATGCAAACTTTCAAACAAAATATAACAAAACTTAAAATGCTGGTCTGGTTAAAATACATTTGATTCTTTTCTTTTTTTCCTTATTTTGCTTGCGACCACATCATGGTGAAACACTTTTCCTCTACAATCTCTGAAGTTCAGTAATGTTATGCCTGGTCAGTACCTAGATGGGTGACCACTTGGGAATACCAGGATTCACTCGTGTGCAAATGCAAATTGGTATGAATTCACCACTTCTCCTCCAGCTATGGGTTAATTACTAAAACTTATATCATTAAATCATTATCTCTAAAAAGAAAAAAAAAATTCTTATCTAAAAAATGTTTTTTGCTTATGGCCATATCACATTGGAACACCTGTTCCCATACAACCACCGAAGTTAAGCAACATTAAGCCTGTTCAGTACCTATATGGGTGACCGCTTGGGAATATCAGGTGCTGTAAGTTTGGATGGTTTAATGGATAAAAGCTTGGAGTTGTTAATTGAAGAACCAAGTTCCAATACTAGTCAAGTTCTTTATATTCACTTATAAGCAAATACTCTTGGGAAAGATATGAATTCACTTCTCCTCCAGCTATCGCTAAATCATTAAAATCATTATCTCTAAAAAAAAAAAAAATTTCTTAGAATCTAATAAATGTTTTCTGGTTTTAAATAACCTGCAATGGATTGATAAGCCACAAAAACTCAATCAATCAATATTATTAATTATTGCTAATTTTTAAATCTATGCCCTTCTCATACTGAGATATGAAGCAACACAATCTTCCGATGCCCATTTTTGCCATTTGATCTTTTACTAATTACTTAATATTGTACTAGTAAATAAACTATCATTTGACTGAATGACCGTCCCTTTAAGTATGTTATACTAAATATTAAAACATTTTTACTTGAGGCCAAAGTTTCAGTGTTTGATTTTCGGCTGACTGATGTAGTAATCACTGATAAGACTTGTATTACTAAAACATTCTTATCTTAAAAAAAAAAAAAAAATTCTTACAATCTAAAAATATTTTCTGGCTTTAAATAACCTGCAATGGGTTGATAAACCGTAAAAAATGAATTTATCAGCTTCTCTTTACTTTCTCACACCCCTGATTGGTGGTTCATGTGAGTCAAAAATATTGAACCTAATTCAGCTACTTTTTTTTTTTTTTACATTTACAACAGCCACATTTGTAAAAGATTATTCTTCACATTTTCAAAAAAAAAAATGTTCAGTAAATTTAATAGACATATTTTTTTTTTGTTTTAATGAGATATCTAGAACAATTGCTGTGAAAATATATAGGCAGCAACCTTTTTTTTTTTTTTTGTCAAACATCTTTCATTGATTACAATGAACCAGAAAGACAATTTTTTACTAAGTTTTTCCAGCATCCTAACATTTTTCCGTTTTGTAGGAATTAAGAAATATGAAAAGTGTCCATTATTTTTATTGTCCTAAGTGCTTTCAGTCACTTCTATAGCCATTTTTCGGTTGAACCAATGAATATATAATAGCGTTTTTGAATTCTTGTTACTAATGACATTTTGTTTTTTTGTTTATAGATACTGCATTTCAGTAAATTTATTGATAGTAAAGGAAGCAAATCCATTGGTATGTAATCCAAGTGGATCCTAGTACTATAAAATATTAAAACGATCCACAAAAAGAGCTCAATGTATTTTTAATACAGAGCAATATAATTAATTTGTTTAGTAAACAATAGCCTATTTCGGCAGACAAAAATATCAGCCCTGTCTCATCAACCCCGGTGTGGACAAGACACTGAGTTGTGCAATCAACGTTGTGTGTGTGTATATATATATATATGTATATATATATATATATATATATATATATATATATACATTATATTACTAGAATTATTATTTTTTGTGGTACATGTATTTCAGTTGACATCCTTTTTTTTTTTTCTAGTAAAAAGAGCTTTAACATTTTTTTTTTTATTTTATTCAAAAATAGTGCTTCTTGTTAGCATCGATTGATAATGGAATAGAACTTTGTATTTTAAGTTTAATTTTTATGATTGAATTTGAATTGAAGTTTTAGTTTTGAAACATGGGAATTCCAGTGTTGCGATGATTATATATTTAAAAAAAACAATTTTATATATATATATATATATATATATATAAAAAAATATTTCTTACTCTGTCCTGGACATTGAGCTCTACCTGGATTCTAGCCACTTGGGAATTTATTTATATATATATATATATATATATATATATATATATATAAAGTTATATTGGTGTTCCAGTCATCATATAATTATGTATTGATTGGAGCATTGTTATTTACATTGTTCAGGTTATTGTCCTCATCTTTATTGCCATATTCACAGCATTTCGGCTGTTGTATGCCTTGAAAACATGGCTCAGTGGGTAAAAGCTTTGGTTGGATCCAGTAACTTGACCCAAAGGGTTGTAAGTTCAATACCTGGCTACTGCAGTGGTGAACAAAAACTTGGAGAGTTGAGTTAAAGGAAGATAACTGAGACATCCAGAAGAGGCATGGCACGTGGAACTAGAACTGTCTACCCAGGCGGGTGAAATAAAGGGTTTAGTTCGAAATTCCAATCACTTGAAGAAGGCCAGAATGGATAACGGCCAAAATGTTGGGAATATGGCAATAAAGATGGACGTAACAGTCTGAAGAACATAAATAATTTACAGTACCTCGTCTCAAAAATATACATAGATACGGAACATTGTTATAACGGTAGTAACAAGATAGTCAGGTATTGTAAATAAAATATAAACAAATAGTAAAATGGAAGAATTTAATTAAAACAAATTTTTTTTTATTTATTTTCTTTTTTCCAGTGTGTGTATTTCTGGAAAAAAAAAAAGAAAGAAAGAAAAAAAAAAAAAAAGCCTATACCTTCTACCCTTGTTTTCTTTTACTCTTTCTCTTTTTAGTGTTGAAAATTTCCTTGCCAAGCCCACTTCCCAAAATACATTAATGACCAAACCTTCAAAATACTGATTTTTGGGAAGTTAGTCAGATTAAGAACTTATCAGCAACCCATTTTATGTATGTGTGTGTAAGAATAGTTTCTCATTTTTGTTCACTGGAAAGTATAAGAGAATCTTTATAATGTGAATCTATTCGTAACAGTGAGGTTTATGTGTCTGTATCCATCCCCTGGTGAGTGGATGGAGTGATTGCTGGCAGGTCCATCTACAAAACTCCAGTCAGGATGCTGAAGGTATAATCAGCTAAGTGACAAACTTTATATTTGTATTAATTTTATATATATATATATATATATATATATATATATATATATATATATATACACTCTTTTTTGTTTACTATTGGAATTAAGATACCTTTTCAATAATGATCCATTTTCACCTACAAATTTTAATTTTAAAATTTGCAGGATTTTTCAACCTGTTTATGGTATCAGTTTGTAGTGGGATACTCTAGAAAATTTCTACTATAGAAAATTTTGCTCTGTTTAATGAAAATAAACATTGAGCACTCTTTTGTGAGTCAGTTTTAACATATTTCAAATTCTATGTTGTGTTAATAGGCTTCACCTGGATTATACCAACCTCTGTGTGTATATATATATATCCTACATTGTGGTGAAATCGTTAGCAAGCTTGTCTCGCTAGAACAATTGCGGCTGAGTAGTGAGTTCGATCCTCACTGGGTATCCCATATATTCGGCCTTGTTCCACATCTAAGCTATGCTTGGAAAATTGCTATATGTTGATTGCACAACTCGGAGTTTCATGTTTTTTCACAATCTTGCAAAAGTGCAAGTTAGGGACGACACCATTTATTTAATATTTCTGGTTATCATGAGATATTCTGTCGTTAAGATGGATTATTGTTGTTGTTGTTGTTGTTAATTATTTAAATGAATTGTAGTTTAATTTTGTATTTGAATTTAAGCCCAGATTAACATTTAAGATTGAAAATTATTAACATTGAGCACTGTTTTTTCTTACACTATAGGGTATATATATGTATTTGCATATGAACGCTTGCTCATATATTTACCTATATATATATATATATATATATATATATATATATAGTCATCCACATACAAGCCTGTTTTGCTGTATCACAGCTCATCAGTGGGGCTAGACATCTGATTGCTTCAAGCCAGAATTGAGACTCGACTGATTTGGCATCAGTCAGCGTTTCTACCCTAAGTTATCAGTGCATGAACAAGTTTAGAATAATAATTTAATATTTAACAATTAAAATTGAATAAAATAAACATAACCTAAGGTGCCTTTTGACCGACAGAACAATGCTGACTATGTAGGTAAAACCATTCAGTGGCTAGAGGTGAGGATTGCTCAACATATGCCTGGTCCTATTTGTAGGTATATACCATTAATATCATCCAGGTGTTCACAGACACACTAGTCTGCCATTGGTGAACACTTGTTAAGTACAAATGTTTGTAGGAATATTTATTCAGAAGAGTTCTCTGTTCTGCACAGTGTGTGGACAAAACACCACCTTGAATATTATAGAAGCTGTTGTGATTAACACACAGCATTTGACTCTGTTTAGACAGAATGAGTTCAAATACTAATTAGAACTGTTTTCGGAGTTATTGGCTCAATCCGGATGACAATAATAATTCCCCCCTCTAATTTCTTTCCAATCTTAAGATCCTATTTAAAAAACAAAAAAAAAAACATTTTAATATTGTTCATTAATACTGTTTTTTTTTAAAAAACATTTTTTTATATTTTTTTCTATTGATATTTTTTATTGATAAAATGATAAATTATAAAATTTGAAATTCATTAGTTAATATATACAATTCTTTTATATGTATAAAAATATGTCATATATTTATTTTATTTTGTTTCTATCCTGATATATATAATATATATATATATATATATAAAAGAAATTAACATTATTAGATATAAAATCAATTCTTATCATTAAATGATAAATTATAATTTACATATATATATATATTATAAATTAATTGATTTAAAATATGGTTTTTTCTACACAGTTCCAACCATGTTTCAAAAATAGAAGCTAAAAACCCTAATTTTATTTTTTTGCAAATAAATTAAAAAGCATTAGTTCCATTTCATCTTCAAGCGAATTTTGGAGTAACTTTTAAAATTTACCGGGTTTTAAAGACACAGCTAAAATCACGTTTCCATGGTTACAGAATATTCTACTTAAATTGAACAAGGGATGTCTAGATTTTCCTTATGTCAGTATCATTGTATCAGTTATTAGCTACATTTTGGTAAGGGTTGTATTTTACAATGAAACCTGACATCAGTTGAATGGATGTCGTCTGAATTTTAAAAAAAAAAAAAAAAAAAAAAAAATTGTTAACGGTAAAAAAAATTCAACGTCATTTTTAAATTTAAAGATTTTTTTTTTTTTACTTTTTATTTAACTACGATTTGAAATATTTTCCTTTTT